CCCCTGGCACCTCATGGATCCTGTCCCTGCACCTGCACCCCCAGAGCCCTCCTGTCCCCACACTGCCTTGCAGGACCCCAGGCTCACTGACAATGCCAAACTGGAACTAGCACAGAGCTGTGCTGGAGCACAGACTTCCCAAATCCCTGTAATCCATCAGGAGATCCCACTTGCAGAGGAAGGTGAGTGTCTCCACGTCAGGAAGCACTTCAGGTGAAACTGGTTTTGCTTGTTCTACATTTTCATTAGGAAATGCAAAGGACTGTAAAAGAGCTGCTGCCATCCCATGTCCCTCTTGGCACATCCAAGCTCACCCCCAACTCCAGTGTCCTCCCAGCTCTGCTGGGAATCCTTGGCTGGAAAGTGCTTTGCTGCCTCCTGATTCATGTGTGAGGAGTTCGACCTCAACCAGATGTTCTGTGGGCAGAAACACCTGTTTGAACTCAAACCCCAGTGATTAGAGTTGCCAACCAGCCATTAAGAAAGTATTAAATGGAGAATTATCCCCCCCTTCCCTTTTCAATACAAAGGCAGCTTCATTATACACTTGTTTGAGTTGCCTGATTTTAATTTTAGTTCCAGTGTTTCTAATAGGACATCCAGAACCATTTCACTTTATCAATAGCTCCTGTGAGCTGAAAAAGAGTCAGGGAGGGAAAAAAAGAGTCAATATCCTTGAGAATGAGACAAAGGAGAAAAAATTAGCCCAAAGATCTCACTTTCTCTTTCCCACTGATAACACAACTTCTCAATTTACTTGACCAAATTGCCTTGCAAAGAGGAGTATTTTTCAAGAGGAGCAGAGATGAAAGGGATTATTACTTATAGAGGCTCTTCTTTAAAGAGATAAAGTATTTGGCAATTAAAGCACAAGGAGCTGCAGACTCCCAGGGAAGGCTGTGACTTCTGGAGCAGCCCCATCAGCATATTTTCCACTAACCCCTCGTTTTGGAAAGCAGTGATCCTGTTGAGGGGTCAGGGTGTGGGGCCACCAGCCACCTCCTGCTGCTGCATGGATGGGGGGAACAGGAACAATCCTTGTCCCAGAGCCAGCTCCTCTGAGGGATGGAGGAATGAAGGTTTTTCACAACCTTCAGTGGGGAAGAGGGTCTGTCTGCCCACGTTGGCTCCAGGTAACCTGCCCAGTGCCAGACTGGAAGGCCATGGAATCTCTGCCACTGCTGATCTGAGTCAAGGCTGAATTTCCCTGGAAATCTGTTAGTTCAGCAGGAACAGCTGGGAGGGCAGAGACACAGCAGCCTGGGGCTGGGGCCGTGCAGGGCAACTGGGACCAGCCACAAAAACCCATTTCCATGTGGGACAGAGGAGTTTGAAACAGCCCTGTGGAGTCCCTGCATCCCACTGGAGTTCCTGCATCTTGTTTGGGTCCCTGCATCCTGCTGGGAGTCCTTGCATCCCTCCAGGATGACTGCATCCCATGAGGGGACCCTGCATCACACCACGATCCCTGCATCCTGCCATGGTCCTTGCATCCTGCCAGGATCCCTGCATCCTGTTTGTGTTCCTGCATCCTGCCATGGTCCTTGCATCCTCACCAGGATCCCTGCATCCCACTGGGATTCCTGCATCCTACCAGGAGTCCTTGCATCCTTGCCAAGGTCCCTGCATCCTACTAGGGAATCCCCTCATCCTGTTTGGGGTCCCTGCATCCCAACAGGGTCCCTGTACCCTGCCAGGGTCCCTGCATCCTATGGGGGTCCCTGCATTCTGCCAGGGTCCTTCATCCTGCTTGTGTTCCTGCATCCCACAGGGGTCCTTACATCCTACTCAGGGTCCCTGCATCCTGCCAGGGATTCCTGGATCCCACTGAGGGAGCCTGGGCCCTCCCATGGGCAGGGCTGGATGTTGCTGCTGCTCCCACTGGGGCCCTGGGCAGGGCTGGGCAGTGGGTGGGGAGAATTAACACCAGGGAGGGCACTGAGGGCCCTGACAGCTGTGGCACAACAGCCCCCCAGCTGTGGTACAACCTTTGCTTTCTCCTAATGGGGTCAATAAATATTTAAACAAGAAAAAAAAAGGGGAATCAATAACCCCTGGCAGGAGATGAGCTCTGGCATTCACAGCAGCAGACCCGGCGCGGTGCCCGGTGGGGGTGGTCGGGGTGGTTGGGGGGGTGTTTCCATCCCAGGGCAAACACGTTCCTGCATCCCTGCTGCTCCTCTCTCCCATGACTAACTCCCTGTTCTGTGGGATATCTGGCAGGAGAGATGCTGGAACAGGCTTCCCCTGGGGTCCCTCACTCTGCACGGTGTCTGTGATGCTGGATGGGGACATCTCAGGGACGGTCTCTGCCCTCTATGACCAGGGACAGGGCCTGAGGGAGAGGCTGGAGCTGTGTCAGGGAGGTTTAGGTTGGATCATAGGAAAAGGTTCTTCCCCCAGAGGGTAGTTGGGCACTGAACAGGCTCCCCAGGGCAGTGGGCACAGCCCCAAGGCTGCCAGAGCTCAAGGAATGTTTTGACAATGCTCTCAGGGACAGGGTGGGATTTTGGGGTGTCCTGTGCAGGGCCAGGGGTTGGGCTGGATCATCCCTGGGGGTTCCTTCCAGCTCAGAAGACTGATTCTTCGAGCAGGACAAGAGCTCCCAGACTGCTCCCCACAGCCCTGTTACAGTGAGCTCCAGCCAGCTCAGAGCTGAACCGCTTTTCGTGATCAAACGTGTTTTTTGTCTAAGTGTTTGTCAGCAGATGAAGATAAGGCCGTTCTCCTTTATAGGAGTTATTCCAAGGCTTAATTAGTTGATGCTTCCTGAAGTACTTTGAAGATGTGGAGTGTGAGATAAGTGCTGTGCTTCAGAGGCCCATCGGGCACTGCAGTTATTTTTTCGTTTTACTTCTCATTCCCAAAGTGTTTGTACAGAGCAAATTCCACGGGAGCATGTGGGGCCCTGAGCAACCTGATCTTTAAGGTCCCTTCCAACCCAAACCAGTCTGGGATTGCATCCTGCTCTGGGGTCCCCAGCACAGGAAGGACATGGAGCTGCTGGAGCAAGTCCAGAGATGCCATGGAGATGTTCCAAGGGCTGGAGCCCCTCTGCTCTGGAGCCAGGCTGGGAGAGCTGGGGGCATTCATCTGGAGAAGGGAAGGCTCCAGGGAGACCTGAGAGCCCCTTCCAGAGCCTAAAGGGGCTCCAGGAGAGCTGGAGATGGACTGGAGCCAAGGGATTGAGGGGCAGGATGAAGAGGAATGGCTTCACATGAGCAGGGGAGGGGTTAGATGGGATATTTGGGAGAAATTCTTCTCTGTGAGGGTGGGGAGGCCCTGGCACAGGTTGCCCAGAGAAGCTGTGGCTGCCCCATCCCTGGAAGTGTCCAAGGCCAGGTTGGACAGGGCTTGGAGCAACCTGGGCTAGTGGAAGGTGTCCCTGCCCATGGAAGGGGTGGAATGAGATGAGCTTTAAGGTCCCTTCCAACCCAAACCATCCTGGGATTTTGTGATCCTTGGCAGGTGCTGCTCAGCAGTGTCTGACCCTGTCCAGCTCCCACCAAGGGCAGCACTGGTGTCACAGGGGGTTCAGACTGTGCAGGACTTGGTTCAGGTTACGGGATGGTTTCTGGTGCAGAGTCATTACTGCCCCATCAATTTTAATTCAGGACGGAGAAATCATCAGTATAATTATTTACTACTGTGAGATTTCTGAAAATTATATTTCTGGTACCGTAGTTATTGATCTTGAAAGGGGCCATAAATTAACTTGACAGTTCACAGAGCCTTTCACACTTGGATAATTTCTCTGCTTGACTTCCACTGTGTGTTGAACTTTCAGCACCAGCCAATTACAGTCATTCAAAGTGCGTATTTGAAGATTTTTCTTATGCAACCAGAAGATATTTTGATTATAATACAGAAGAACTTGAAGGAAATACCCAGTGCCCTCCACACTGCAGGACAGCTTGAATTAAGGTGGGCATGGGGGGATGCTGAATGGGCCCTACGGTGGCAGGGGGGTGGCATGGCCATGCCATGACCCTGGGAGGGCTGGTGGCCCCAGGAGCCCCCCAGGTGCTTGGCAGTGGTGCTCCCCATGGGGCTGGTACCTCCCTGGGGTGACCAGGCAGCTCTGTGGCCTCTCATCCCCGAGTTGGCACCAGCAGGATGCAACCCCCACCTGACCAGACAAGCCCACAGCTTCACATGTTCAGTGCTTGTCCCCAGAATTGACCTCTGATGGGAAAAAGGGATGCTCACGACACAGAAACACCTCCTGATCCACCCTCTGTGCTCTCAGGACACTGTGACAGGAACAAATCACAGCAGACCCGGGTTTCTGGAGGGGCCCCACAGCATCTCTGGCCTGAAATGGGCCAAATCCTGCACCCTGCAGGGGTGTGGGGCAAGTGGGGCATGTGGGACAGTTGCTGCAGGGGCAGGAAGGACGTGGTATGGTGGCAACAGGAGGCTGCATCCCCATTCCATGAGGGTCTCCCAGATCCTGCCCTGTCCTGTCCCACCAGCTCTGGGGCTCCTCTGGGCAGGAACAGGGAAGGGAAGGGGCTGGGGGGATCCGGGGCCTCACGTAAGGTGGCGATTCTTTGGCTGCAGGGGGAAGACAACTGTGCTTCGTCAGAAATCAGCTCAGAAAATCAGCAACATCTGGTGCCTGCTGGCTGTGGCACCGCCCCAGCATGGGACAGCAATCTCTTTTTGTCCTCCCAGATTAAGGGATTTTGCTGTTTGCTCACAGTTTTGTGTATGTAAAACAAGCTGGCCCTGACCAGGAACCTGCTGAAAGCCTCAGCATCAATCCCTGCCCAAATCCCCCCCAAAAGCCTCAGCATCAATCCCTGCCTGAAGACCCCCAAAGCCCCAACATAAATCCCTGCCCAGTCCCCCACTGGGCAGCACTTGCTGCTCCAGCCAGCCCTGCATGGACTCCCTGCCCCTGGGAAGGGCCTTTTGGGGTGACTCTGGGACCAAGTGGGGCCCAGAGCTCTGGTAGCCTGGCCCCAGCACCCCCTGCTCCCCCCAGGCAGGTGACCGCACTCGCTGCGTAGTATTTATTCATTGTATCACAGAGAAGAAAACCTCCTTCAGCTAGTCCAGGGTTCCTCAGGGTGGTCCCAGGCCCGGTGCTGGTGCGTGAAAGGGGTCGGCCTGGGCGGGGATCCAGCGTTTCATCCTTTCACAGTGGTGGGAGACGGGGCAGAGCGGGCGGCCCCTCAGACCTCCATCTTCTTCTTCATCTCCATGCGGTAGATGATCTGGTAGCCGTCGTCCCAGGCGTAGACCTGCCTCTCCCGGGGGCTGTACTTCATGCTGGAGTGGGACCCGTAGCGCTTGGGGAAGTAGACGAGGGAGGCGTCCTCGGGGGCCAGGGTGCCGCTGACGTCGAACACGCACTGGACGCGCGAGCGGCTGGGCAGGCGCGTGTTGTACACCACGTGCAGGGCCCCGCACACCACGAACGCGCCCTCCGCGTTCTCCCGCGGGCACGGCGTGTCCCACATCTGCTCGATGTCCAGCGAGCCGGGGTCCAGCTTGGCCAGGCAGATGTTCTTCTCGTCCTCCTTGGTGGCGTAGATGGCCCACAGCCCCTCCTCGTCCGCCGCCACCTCGATGTAGGTGAAGGGGGAGAGCCCAAAGACGGGGATCTGCTCCTCGGCCGGGAACACCGAGCTGTCCACCACCGTCTTGTTGGCCAGGTTGAACTTGATCACCTGGAATGACAGGCCCTGCTGGCGGATGTAGTAGAGGTGCCCATCGTAGACGAGGTGCCCGGTGCCCACCCAGGGGTAGGGCAGCTTGATGCGGGCGGCCTTGCGGGTGGCGGAGAAGAGGGTGAACTCCCTCATGCGGGGGAACACGTACACGGTGTCGTTGGCGGTGCCGTCGAACACGTAGATCTTCTCCGAGTTCCCCGCAGCGTCCTTGGTCCAGAGCCCCGAGGTGCTGCCGAAACGCTTCAGGATCTTCATGGCTCTGACGCTGGCGATGGTGTCGCTGCAGTCTGCAAGGGCGGGGTAGCCATGAGAGCCTGGAAACCACCCGGCCCTGCACTCCCACCCCACACTGGCATCTCATGGGTCCTGCTGCGTCCTATCCCAGCCCCCAGGCAACTGCCCTGCAAATGCACCCATCCCTGATGGCATTGGGAAGTCCCCTTGTGCACCCATGCCACGGGCAGGGGAGTCACCCTCACCCCAGCCCTGTCCCACAGGGCTCCAGCCTGGGGCTTGGATGTGGCTCCCAGGCAGCTGTGGGGATGCAGGATCTCGTGCCAGAGACACCTGAGAGATGCCCTGTGGGGACACAATGCCGTGGAACATGGCCAGGGGAAACCTGGATCTGGTTGGGCTGGGAAGGCTTGGGGTTAACCCCACATGGGATCAGCCCCACAGGGAGCCACGGCAGCCCCTCACCTGTCAGCTTGGTGTACTTCTCATTCTTCCTCTGCTTGGCTGTGGCCACCTGCTTCTCCATCAGGGTCTCATCCACCTCCACGCAGGGCGGTGCAGGGTTCTGTGTCTCCAGGTAGTCCACCTCCCGCTCCAGCCGGTCCACGCGCACCGCGGCGCTCTCGGCCTCCGCCCGCATCGCCTCCCGCTCCTTCTCCGCTGCCTCGAGCATCCCCAGCACCTGGTTCTTGAAGTCCCGCAGCTCCGTGGAGTAGCGGCTGCTCTGGTCGTGCCACTGTGAGATCCTCTCCTGGGGTGGCCAAGGGGACGCTGAGGTCTCCACACCTCACAGCGTGTCCCGCTACCTGCACGTGGCTGTGGGAGCCCCCGGGGCCACACGGCCCCGCAGCCCTGGGCTCGTGTCTCTGGGTCCCACTCCCGTGATGGTCCCGCTCCTGTGATGTCCCTGCTCCCACACGGTGTCCCCAGAGCTGTGATGCCCCTGCTCCCCTGGTGTTCCCAGACCCTCGGTGCCCCTGCTCTCCCACAATGCTCCCAGACCTGTGATGTCCCCACTCCTGTGATGCTCCCAGACCCACAATGTCCCTGTTCCTGCAGTGCTCCCACACCCATCATGCCCCCATTCATCCTCATGCTGGGCTGTACAGGGCCCTGGCAGGGGGTGCCAGGGCACCCCACACTCTGCTCCATCCCCATCCCAGCTCCAGACCCCACCGGCCGCCATGGAGGAAGGACGGGGAGCCCCACCACGGCGTGACACGGGGTACTCAGGGGTTGTTGGCGGCCCTCACGGGCTTGTAACCTTCCAGGAGGGTGAGGGCCGCTCCACGTTACTCCATGAAACTGCTGCTGCTGGGCACGGAGGGGCACGGTGAGGAGCGGCAGGAGGAGCAGGCAGCGCCAGGGCCCCATGGCCGTCGGGGAGTGCAGCCTCCAGCTCAGTGCTCAGGAATGCTCCGGCCTCTCCAGCCCTTATTGAATCCAGATGTGCAGAGGGAGGAGAGGCTGTTCCTTCCCCGCAGACCAGCCCCGGGCGCCTTAACCCCTTCACGCCCCGCCGGGTGCCCACGGCAGCTCCACGTGGTGCCATCCAGCCCCGGGGCTGGGATTGAGGCGTGGGGCTGGGCAGGGGACAGGCTGCTGGTGGGGTTTGTGGGATTTGGGGCGCAGGGAGTGCTGCAGGAGCCCCGGGCAGCGAGGGAAAGACATGTTCTCATGAGGGACATCCCGTGGGACAGCAAGGACCATGCTGTGCCACAGGCATGGGTGCAGCCCTGGTTCCTCGCCTGCAGACATGCCCGAGGCTGGTGGCCAACCTGAGCCTTGGCCGTGCCCAGGTGTGGTGGAGGCAAAGCCAGACCAGCACTGCTGCCACCACCCCCCTGACCGTGTCACCCCCCATGTCCTGGAGCTCCTGCCTGACCCCCTTGTGCTGGGGTCTTGTGGATCCCCCTGGGCCCCTCGGGGCCGTTGTTTGGCCACGGTCAGTCACCACCCTCAGCCAGGGGCTGCCCAGCACTGGCTCCAAAGGTGGCCTGAGGGCCAGTGTGGGGCCACAGGGCAGCTCCCCCAGCCAGGGCGGGACAGGGGCGGTGTGAAGGACGGACGGGTTGGATGGACAGATGGACGCTGCAGCTCCGTGCCCTGCATGCAGCCGTGCCAGGTGGCTCTGTGGGCACAGCCCGTGGGCTCCTGGGCCATGGGAACGGGCCGAGGCTGCCCGTCCGTGCCAGGTGCTGTGGCAGGGCGAGTGTGCCATCTAGTGCTGCCACATCCCAAATCCACATCCCAAATCCACTTCTCCGACATCCCACCCCGACATCCCACCCCGGGTGCACCAAACCCCTCCTTCAACAGACCAAGTGACCACATGAATAGAGTACAGAAAATTAACCCTTTTTATTGATGCATTGCAATTGTTCTACATTTTTACCATATTATGTAGAAAATACTTAAAATACAAGCTACTTTGTAAAACCAAAGACAAACATTGAATCCAAAGATAAACTATGTTTTCACAATGGACCCTTTTCCCATATAGTTAGTATTAAATTTTTAAATATCTATTTCTTTTGTTAAAATGATTTTTACATACCCCCTAAGTACATCAGCAATACAAACATAGATCAGTAATTGTCAGAAACTACCTGTATCTAGCGGCTTGTAAAAAGGAAGAGCACAACCATAAAAGAAAGTTAAATTTTACACAGTAACTAGCATATCAAATACATTTAATAAAGTAGGAATTCCATTGCAATATCAAGGATTCAAGCAGAAATACTAACATTACATATAATGTACTGCTACATGTAGTGAGATAGATATAGTTCAAGCTGAATCTGAAATCACACATTATATAAAGTTTAGCAACAAACAACCATGTGGACATGCGGCACCATTCAGAAGTTTAAATAAAAATAAAAAAAGAAAGCAGGGCTGTGCCAATCCTGTCATTTAGAAGCAATTTAGTTTCATGTACTAAAAGAAATTGCTGAGTCAGAGGTAAATTACTGCATCCCATCAACTAGGTGCTAAGCAGGAAAGCCTTGGGAGTCGCCTCTGCAGTGGCTATCACAGCTGCAAATACAGGTCAGGTAAGAGAAAACTGATTGAACAGCTCAAGAATCACACAGACAAACCTAGATGGGACCACGGTCATCAAATATTCCAAAGGTGAGTCCCAAACTAGTTGTAAAAAAAATTAAAGTACTCCAATTCCTATCCAGAGATAGCAGATTTCTCTACAAAACACATGTAGTGGCTCTGACAATGAGGAGAGTCAATTCTTGAACCCAATTTGAGGCTGGATATGCAAAAGGGAAGAAGGGAAGTATTTCCTTAGAGCACAATACACACCCAGACTGGGCATCACATCCTGGGGGCCAGACTGGCTTGTGAAGCCCAGTGTCCCCCTGGCGCTGCTGGGGTGGGGTTTGCTGTGTATCACTGAGGAATTCTGGGGTATTTTGGTTCCAAATGGAGCACATTTGATTTTATCTATGTCATTTCCATCTCATCCTCCGCGTTCCAACTCTTTTGGGAACTTGGGCAGTGGAAGAGATGACACCGTGCTTCGGGAATACATTTGATTGGGATTAATTATGTTACAGAAACTCTAAACGGTTATTTCAAGCTGCTTTTTTGGGGGTAAAGTGGGCAAGTTCTCAGAACTATTAGCAGATTTTGCTAGAGGTCCTTTTTCTTTTTTTTTTTTTCCTGTTAGTAAAGTGTTTTCCACGAAGTCCTATTTGTGAAACAGGGAGTTGGAGCTTGGTTTGCCTTTCGGTGGAAAGGCACAACTCTGTACACCCAAGAGGTATCTCAAGGCAAGTACTGAACACAAGCAATGTCAAAAAAAGCAAGAAAGTGCCTACAGCAACAAACAGCATCGTTTCCAGCAACGATGTGGCATAGCAAGGTTGGTTATCCACTTACAGAAGTGCTCTGACTACAAACACACTGAACAACAACGTGGCTAATGCTACCGTCCAGTTCCAAAGTCCTCGACCCCTCCAGCAAAGAGATGCCAAAACCTCCATCAGTTCACCCATTTCAGGGCAGTCCAGACTTCCTTCTATCAGGAACGTGGGGATTTCAGAAATGACTTCTGCATTTCTCTCCACAGACCCCCCCCCCTCAGAACTGGCCTCCTTCCCACTGGGACGGAACATAAACTGGGATTCAAGGTTACCAAACCTCTTATTGCTGCAGTAACACGACCGCTCGAACCAGTTTATCATCCACTTGGACAAGATACTTCACCTACGTATTAGATGAGAAATAATTCCTAGTACAAGGGACCCGAGAAAACAAAGTGTAGTCCAAAAACTGCACTGATTATCCAGAATGAGTATTTCCTCTGAACGCTAACTAGGGCTACAGCTGACAGACCTTCCCAACAACTCCACATTAGCAGTAGCATTATAAAACTTTTTTAATGGTATTATGTGCTTTACAGCAGGCTCTCTTTGGTATAAATATTCTATCACCAAGCTAGCAATATTTTACACGACACGTCTGCTATTCCTGTGGGGGAAGGTAACGCCACACTAACCTAATAAAAGTGATTGCACATATTTAATCACTTCTGCAATATTAGACTAAACATTCCAATGCATTCCCAGCACTACCTTTTATCCGAAATGCACTGACAGACACTAACAGTACATGTGCCATTTTCAAAGGGGAAAGCTTTTTAAGGGGACATCGCTTCACGGGGAACAAAAACGGAGCTTTGATGGAGCGTTGGAAGGGATAAGACGCAGCTCTGCACCTCCTGCTGCTCTGGCTGTGGAAAGCTGGGTGAATTGCTTCAATTCGACGGGGGCTTGCTGGTCCCTCATAAGGCAAAGCTCACTGTAAACTCTAGTCACACTACATCATCATTTAAGGCACTACAATAAGGGGACACACCAAACAACTCTTCATCACACATACCTGTGCAAAACAAATCCGAAGGTATCCTTTCCTCTCGTGAAGCTCTAACTCCTCTCTCAGTGCTACAGTGATGAGCTCTAACCATTGCATTATATCACATACATTCCAACATGAATCAATTCATTTTGGTTTAAATACAAAGGATACAACACTTCCATCCCCAGGAACGTTTAAGAATTAGACAAACACTAAGTACAGAGTTCAAGTATAATCACTACACATTTTGATTACAAAGACAGAACATTTGGGGTTAGCAGGAAGTTTTGCTTGTTATATTTTTCTAATCAATATGTACATATTTCATTTTCTGTAAAATATTAAAACACCACCAATACAAAACTTCTAAAATAGTTTTAAATTCAGTAATAAACTTTAAAATCTGGACTTTTTTTTTTTTCCTTTTTTTTTTTTCTTTTTCTTTCTCTTTTTTTGTTTCTGGTTTTTTTTGTTTCTGGTTTTTTGTTGCAATTCCTACATGCACTTACTGTTTACAAGTCTTATTAAGAGCGCTTTAAAGTAGCTGTTGACATATCCAGGAGGATACGCTCACAGGAGTATAAAAAGCTGTACATCATCAATACAGTGATGTTTCATTGTATTTCAAATTCATCTCCCTCCTAAATGAATCACGTGAGGAAAAAAAATCATTAAGAAAAAACAGAACAAAGCAAAGCCCTGTGCTTCTGTGAAGGAATCCAGCTCCATTATAGGGCCAGCATCTAATAAGCTGCAGAAACCAAATTTTAGAGCAGTGCTGCACTATTCACTCTCAGCTGAAGTCAACAACATCCTGACAGAGCTGCTGAGCTCTGTCACACAGTGAGATCCTGAATGCACTTTGAAGAACTTAAAAGAATTCTGCAACGAACACAACA